CTGTTTGTGCATTTGGGTTATGCTTGATAGTCTACTTATGCCACATATTGTTGTTGTTGTACTTGCCCTCGAGTCACGCCTGACTCATAGTGACCCCTCCTTGGGTTTCCAAGGCAGCATCACTATGGAAGTAGATTGCCCAACCTTCCTTCCGAACAGTGGCTGATGGTTTTGAACTGCCAGCCTTCTGGTTAGCAGTTAAGTGCCTTAGGCACTATGCTAGCCTTCTGGTTAGCAGTCCATATATTAGGGCCCCTAAAGTTGCCTAGTTTTTCCTTGAGGAACTTTATGGTTTTAGGTTTCACATTTATGTCTTTGATCCATCTGGAGTTGTGTATGGTGTGAGGTACAGATCTTCTTTCATTTTTCTGCAAATGGATATTCAGTTTTGCCAGTGCCATTTATTAAACAAACATTCTCTTCCCCATTTAATGGATTTTAGCCCTTTGTCAAAAATCAATTGACCATAGGTCAATGGATCTGTTTCTAGGTTCTCAATTCTATTTCATTTGTCTATGTGTCTGTCATTATACTAATATCAGGCAGTTTTGACTGTGGGTGTATGGTAGGCTTTGAGACCCAGCAGTGTGAGACCTTCTAGTTTGTTCTTCTTCTTCAATAGTGCTTTGCTTATCTGAGGTCTCCTTTCTTTCCATATAAAGTTAGTGACTGGTTTTTTCATATCCTTAAAGAATGCTGATGGGATCTGGATTTCATGAACTTGTTTAATTGTCTTCAGTTTCAATTTGAACTTGCATATGAGCAATTGATGGTCTATTCCACAGTTTGCTTTTGGCCTTGTTTTGGCTGAAGATATTGAGCTTCTCCATCTCCTCTTTCATGGATATATGTAGTCAATCTTATTCCTGTGTATTCCATCTGATGAGGTCCACATGTATAGCTGCTGTTTATGTTGTTAAAAAAAGGTATTTGCAATGACTAAGTTGTTGGACTTGGAAAATTCTGTCATGCAATCTCTGGTGTCACTTCTACCACCTAGGCCATATTTTTCAACTACTGGTGATTTTTCTTTGTTTCCAACTTTGGCATTCCAATCACCATTAATAGTTTATACATCTTGATTGCATGTCTGGTCAATTTCAGGCTGCAGAAATTGGTAAAAAAAACCTTCAATTTCTTCATCTTTGCCTTTAGTGGTTAGTGCATAAATTTGAATACTAGTTGTATTAACTAGTCTTCCTTGTAAGTGTATGGATATTCTTCTATCACTGACAACACTGTACTTCAGTATAGTTCTTAGAACATTCTTTTTGATGATGAATGTGACATCATTTTTTAATCTGTCATTCCCGACATAGTAAATCACATGATTGTCTGATTCAAAAATGGCCAAAACCAGTCTATTTTAGCTCACTAATTCCTAGACTATCGATCCATTTCATTTTTTTTTTTACAACTCCCAATTTTCCTAGATTCGTATTTCATATATTTTTTGCAGCTGTTTCTTCTCATTTTGAGTTGTGCTCTATCAGCAAATGGAGGTACAGAAGCTTTACTCCATCTATGTTATTAAGGGCAACTCTACTTTGAGGAAGCAACTCTTCCCCAGTCGTATTTTGAGTGCCTGAAGGGCTTATCTTCTGGCACGATATCAGACTATGTTTTAGGGGTATTCATAAAGCTTTCCAGTAATGTAACAGACAGTGTTTCACTGCCATTCATAAGGTTTTCACTGGCCAATTTTTCGAAAGTGGCTGGCCCCATCCTTCTTCCTAGTCCTTCTTAGTCTGGATGCTCTGCTGAAACTTGTTCACCATGGGTGATCCTGCAGGTATTTGAAATACCAGTGGCATAGCCACCAGCCTCAAAACAACACACAAGCCACCACAGTAGACAAACTGACAAATGAGAGGTGGCTATTTCCATAGGAAACACAATTAATTAAGAAGCCCAAGGAAAATCAATACAGTTGGTCAAGTCCAACTGCTGTGCTCCTGGGACATGCTACCCACTCCCAATCTCTACTACAAACACTGAGATAGACGTACCAGATGTGGCTCAATTTTAGAGTCAAGGATCACGCTTACTACCAGACGGACATATGTGTTTCTTTGAGGATGTTTTGGTGGAGGGGCTGGAAGATCAAATATCACAAACTTTTTTTCCTTCTGTGCAAGATCTAATAAATTACGTAGTTGTGGAATTTTCTGATTTCTTGCTCTTTCATTATCAGCCTCTGATAGGGATTTCATACGGTAAAATGGTTTGTCCTAAAAATAAAAAATACATCAGAAAATACATTGGCTTCCATCAAAACCATTTCCTGATTCTCCTGCCATGTAGTCCCATACCCAGTTCTACCACCATCTAGCTCCATTACCATTCAGCCCACCAGGCCCTTTGAAATACTGTTTCTGAGATCACAGTTGCCAAAAAAGGAAATAAAATGTAATGTAATTTTCATGTTTGAGATAATCTCTTCTACATCTTAGAACATACTGTATTTGCACTGAAGGCCTTTCATGTTCTAGGTCTGACCTTCCTATTCAGCCTTTTCTTCTACAGCTCAAGGTAATATACCTCTTTCCAATTTCATTAGATTACCGTAATTGTTCTCACTGTTCTCGTTTTGAATAATGGAAGGAGGATAGGCTTTGGCTTCGACCTTAATTGACTTAATGACAGCTCTAGCACTCATGTGTCTTCCTTACCATACCCTGTTAAAAAATTCTACCTCCACCCTATAAAGCCCAATTCAAATGCTACCTCATTCAAGAAGTCTTCCTTAAATATTCCTAAAATAAAAAGACATCATTAGTCTCTAAGGCCTTTTTTTTACTACTCTTTAACTGCATATCTCATTCTGCTTTCTACAGTGACTTGAACATGTCTTAGACAGATCAAGGTTCAAATTCTGATTAAATACACTTTTTGCTGTATAACCATGGTAAAATCATTTAATTTTTAAAGTCTTAATTGCCAAAACTATAAATAGGAGAGGGAAGGGGTACTCTATGTATCTCTCAGGATTATTTTGAAGATTAAACATGATAAAATATGTACAGGGTCTAGGAGCATATCTAAAGGCGCTTTAGTGGTATAGCGGTTAAAGCATTTGACTTCTAACCAATGTTTGACAGTTTGAACCCACCAGAGCTACTCCATCGGAGAAATATGAGAAAGTCTGCTTCTGTAAAGATTTATAGCCTTGGAAACCCTATGGGGCAGTTCTACTCTGTCCTAAAAGGTCACTGTGAGTCGGAATTGACTCATTGGCAGTGGGTTTGGTGGGAACATGTCTGGTACATAGAAAGCACACAATTCAAGTATAACTCTCCCATGGCAGGAACTGTCTTATTTTCTATATAATGCACAGCATTTACCTTACACACCAAAACAAAAACCAAACTCACTGCCATTGAGTTGTTTCCAACTCATAGTGACCCCCATTGGGTTTCCAAGGCTATAAATCTTTCTGGAAGCAGATCATCCAGTCTTCCTTCTGTGGAGCAGCTGGTGGGTTTAAACCACTAATCTTCCAGTTAGCAGTCAAGTGCCTTATCTACTACGCCATACTTAGCAGGCCATAAATATTATTTGCTTTATTAAATTCAATGGAGTGACATTAACCAGATGGCAGACTAAAAGCACCACACTCCCATGTACCCTTCTTCAAAGAAACATCCAAAAACAGGCCTAAACTGTCAAAACCAACTTTGTCAGAAATCTGGAAAACAGTCAAAAGTTTACAGAGCCAAGTAAATGCTGAATCAAGAAAACATACCTTCAAAATGGTAGGAAAGGTTTGTGGCTCTTTACTTGCTCATGCCCCACCCCTTCCCTGGCTCAGCAGCTGGCTTCAAGACAGCAGCCTGTGTTCCCAGTGTGGGACTCTGGACACTGGTTCTGGAGAAAGCAGAGCAAACTTTATTCACAAATTACTGAGTTTCTCTGTTATAATCTGTCAGGTGGCTATTTAAGGACTGAAGCAAGGCACTCACCTGATTTCCCTATCTCACACTAATAGAAAGTAGTAAAGTATTAGGCATTGCTCAAACATTGTAAGGCAAACAATCAACCTGTAGTTCCATGAGACAAAGACTGTAATTAACATACAACAGACTATCTAAGGACTGGAAGGCAAGGCTGAGGAGGAGTTTCTTTGAGAAATTAGGCTATTCTAAAGCTGTCTGGCAGTTCAAACCCACCAGCGGAGACTGGGCAATCTATCTCTGTAGTGATAGCGCCTTGGAAACCCAAGGAGGGGTCACTATGAGTCAAATCGACTTGACGGCAGTGAGTTTGGTTTTGGAAAGCTGTGCCCAACCATTCATCTGTTAATTTGTTTGCACTGTGGTAGCTTGTGTGTTGTGGGGCTGAAGGCTATGCCACCAGTATTTCAAATACTAGCAGAGTCATCTCTGGTGGACAAGTTTCAGTAGAGCATATAGACTAAGACAGACTTAGAAAAAGGATGGGGCTGTCCAATTCTCAAAGAATTGGCCAGTAAAAATGTTATGAATATCCCTGAAACAATGTCTGATACAGTGACAGAAGATGAGCCCCTCAGGTTAGAAGGCACTTAAAATACGACTGGGGAAGAGCTGCTTCCTCAAAGTAGAGGGGACCCTAATGACTTGAATGGAGTAAAGCTTTCTGGATCTCCATTTCCTGGTGGGACATGACTCAAAATGGAAAGAAGCTGCAAACATCCATTAATAATTGGAACATGGAATGTACAAAGTATGAATGAAGGAAAATTGAGAGTTGTCAAAAATGAAATGGAATGCATAAACATCAATATCCTAAGCCTTAGTGAGCGGAAATGGGCTGGTTTTGGCCAATTTGAATTAGACAATCATATGATCTACTATGCCAGGAACGACAAATTGAAGAGGAATAGTGCGGCATTCATCATCACAAAAAAATGTTTCAAGATCTATTGAAGTACACTGCTGTCAGTGATAGGATAATACCCATATATTTATGAGGAAGACCAGTTAATACTACTGTTATTCAAATTTACATACCAACCATTAAAGTCAAGGACAAGGAGACTGAAGATTTTTACCAACTTCTGCAGTTAGAAATTGACCAAACATACAATCAAGATGTACTGATTATTATTGGTGATTGGAATGCCAAAGTTGGAAACAAAGAAGAATCACTAGTAGTTGGAAAATATGGCCTTGGTGATAGAAAGAACTCCAGAGAATTCTGCAAGACCAATGACTTATTCATTGCAAATACCTTCTTTGAACAATATAAACAGCACTTATACACATGGACCTCATCAGATGGAATACACATGAATCAGACTGACTACATCTGTGGCAAGATGAGATGGAGAAGCTCATTATCTTCAGCCAAAACAAGGCCAGGAACTGACTGTGGAACAGACCATCAACTGCTCATATGTAAATTCAAGCTAATGCTAAAGACAATTAAGGCAAGTCCATGACAGGCAAAATATAATCTTCATTATATCCCAATTGAATTTAGAGCCTATCTGAAGAATAGATTTGATGCATTTAATACGAATGATTGAAAACCAGACGAGTTGTGGGATGGTATCAAGAACATCATACATGAAGAAAGGAGAAGGTTATTTAACAGACAGGAAAGGAAGACAGACCAAAATGGATATCAGAAGAGACTCTGAAACTTGCTCTTGAAAGGAGAGTAGCTAAAGCAAATGGAAGAGATGACAAGATAAAAGAGCTGAAGAGAAGATTTCAAAGAGCAGCTCAAGAAGACAAAGTCAATTATCATAATGAAACACGCAAAACCTGGAGTTAGAAAACCAAAAGGGAAGCATTTCTCAAGCTGAAAGAATTGAAGAAAAAAATCAAGCTCAAGTTCCAATACTGAAAGATTTGATAGGCAAAATATTGAATAATACAAATCAAAAAACAAACTCACTGCTGCTGAGTTGGATCCAACTCATAGCGACCCCTCCTTGGGTTTCTGAGGCAGTATCACTATGGAAGTAGATCACCCAACCTTCCTTCTGAGGAGTGGCTGGTGGGTTTGAACCTCTAGCCTTCTGGTTAGCAGTCAAATGCCTTAGGCACTACACTACCAGAGCTCCCAGGAAGCATCAAAAGAAGATGGAAAGAATACCGAATAATTGAACAAAAAATAATTCGTCCATGCTTATCTATTTTAGGAGGTGGCATATGATCAAGAATCAACAGTGTTGAAGGTAGAAGTAAAAGTTCCACTGAAGGAATTAGCAAAAACAAGACTCCAGGAACTGATGGAACACCAACTAAGATGTTTCAACAAGCAGATGCGGTGCTGGGGGTACTTACTCTTCCATGCCAAGAAATTTGGAAGACAGCTACCTGGCCAACTGACTGGAACAGATGCATATATGTATGCATTCCAACAAAAAGTGATCCAACACAATGTGTAAATTATCAAACAATGTCTTTCATATCTCACAAGTAAAATTTTGTTGAAGATAATTTAAAAATGGTTTCAGCAATATATTGACAGGGAACTGCCAGAAATGCAAGCTAGATTCAGAGAAGACACAGAATGAGAGACACCACTGCTGAAATGATATGGTTTGGCTGAAAGCAAAGAATACCAGAAAGATGTTTACTTGTGTTCTATTGACTATGCAAAAGCATTTAACTGTGTAAATCATAACAAATAATGGATAACACTGAGAATGGGAATTCAGAACACATAATTGTGCTCATGAGGAACCTGTACATAAACCAAGAGGCTGCCCTATCAAAACAAGGAGATACTGCATGGTTTAAAATCAGGAAGGGAGGATGTCAGGGTTGTATCTTTCACCATATTTATTAAATCTGTACACTGAGCAAACAATCCGAAAAGTTGGACTATGGGAAAAAGAACATGGCATCAGGATTGAAGGGGAACTCTTTAACAACCTGTGATATGCAGACAACACAACCTTGCTTGCTGAAAGTGAAGATGACTTGAAGCACTCATTGATGAAGATCAGAGACTATAACCTTCAGTAGGGATTACACCTCAACATAAAGAAAATGAAAATCCTCATAATTGGACCAGTAAGCAGCATCACAATAAATGGAGAAAAGACTGAAGTTGTCAAAGATTTCATATTGACTGGATCCACAATGAACACCAGTGGAAGCAGCAGTCAAGATATCAGACATCATATTGCACTGGGCAAATCTGCAAAAGACCTCTTTAAAACAATGAAGAGGAAAGATGTCTCTTTGAAGACTAAGGTGTGCCTAATCCAAGCCATAGTATTTTCAATCACCTC